AGCAAAATTTTCAGCTGTTGCCTATTTTCTTTATTTACTTTTCTTTTCCCGCACTGGCTGGGGAATATAATTTCCTTTCTCTCCGTCTTGCTCCCTGGCTGCTCGTTTCGGCGCCGCACCTCTGCTGCTGCTTAACCGATAAAACAAAACGATGCTCGCGGTGGCTGGGGGCGCGCCGCCGCCCTTTTAAACGTCGTGCTTCGGCTGGAACGTGATCTGAATGCCGCAGGCCGCTCTGTGCCGCTGTGCGCAGCCCGGCTGCGAGGCTGAGGTGTGCCGAGCGTGCTGCAGACACCTTGACAAAGCAGACATTTGTCTCCCCGCGCCCGCCAGACTTTGCCCTCCGCGTCTGGTCAATACTCTCACGCAGTCGCGCGCTCTGTATTGCGGGACGTCACACGCAGGCCGCAGACGGTCTGCATCTCAAAGTACCGCAAGAGAAGAACAGAAACTTTCTTTTCTCGTTTATCATCTTTAAACGCATTTGGAGGAATGGAAGCAGGCGCACTACTGATTTTTTTTTTACAATTTCTCGCAGCTCAAGGCGTTGTTTCCAATATCACTGTTAGGAAAACACACGGTATAGGCCTACGGTCTGCGCTGTACATTTGTTTCCTGGTCCGGCACCGTAATTTTTGGTTACGGTCCGTGTCATACAGAGCACATCGCAACTTGGAAAAATGTTGAGGAAGTAGAATACAGCTCAAAGTCCAAACAAGAAAGTACAGTTCATGCTGTTACAGCCTGACCGGACCGTAGGCAAACCGTAACTGCCTACGGTATTTTTTTTACAGTGTTTGTCGGTTTGCGATCAGCCACATCCGTAAGTCTCGAAACATTTTCCAGATCCGCGACTTCCAATACCACCCCCGCTTAACCTCGCAGCCCGCAATCTGCCATAACCTGCAGTAACCCCTGACCTGTACCGCAATCCCCTGCCCGGCCGGCCTAATCTCAACCCGCCCGACCCGAACACAAAAGCGCGTTCGTCTCGCTTTTGATGCCGGGCCGGGCCGTGCGCACGAAGCTCCCCGGTGCGGGGGGTATATCGGCAGTGATTGGAGTATTGCGTGCCCCGCTGCTGCTGCTGCTGCTGCTGCTGCTGCTGCTGCTGCTGCCGTGATATGAATGACCTCGCAGGTAATTACTCCATGCGATAAAGTGTTGTTGGCTGTTTAAAATGACACTCGTTAATTATTCGCACACAAAGTGGCGGACGGCCGTCGTTAGCAACACCAAAAAAAAACATGTCGCTGTCATTAACCTTTTTTGTGCGTATTTCTCTCGGAAATCACATTATTTCGACGACGTTACTGTTTTTTTCTTCCCGGCGTCGCTCGTCGCCGTCGCTCGTTGGTTTTCTTTTGAACGAAACGGAATACTTCTTTTTATTTCGCTGCGCAGGGCGCGCTTTATGATCTGTTAAGTCCCCAAGAAATCATGGAGCGTGAGCGGGAAAAAAAATAAAAAATAGAACAAACCGAGTTCGGCGTCACTGTGTTCCCTCTACTCCCCCGAACCGCCGCCCCCTTTGGACGCCGATAATTTTGACATGGATTTATGATGGGTCACGATGTCGCGGCGCCGGTGCCACCAGACGATAGGAAGAGAGAGAGAGAGAGAGAGAGAGAGAGAGAGAGAGAGAGAGAGAGAGAGAGAGAGAGAGAGCGATAGGCGAATGGGAGTGAGGCGAAGGGGCCTCCAGTTTAGATGGCGCGAAAGCGGTGCATTTATTATGACCAGGTGAGGTCGTCACTGTACGTGTGTGTGTGTGTGTGTGAGTGGGTGGGTGTGTGTGCGCGCGCGCGCGCTTTGCTTCGCACTCTTCTGCTAGCGGCAGTTAACTGCTCCCGGGGAAGTTTGTCGATAAAAAGGTCACAGTTGACGAGATGAAGGTGCCGCGTGCGCTGTGCGGGCCACACGTATTATCGCTCATCCGAGCGGAAAAGGCCTCGGGCGCAGTGCTGCTGCGCGCGGTGCTGTTTGGCCTTCTCGACCATTTCGCACGCATTCTCCCGGCAGAAGCGTATCCTCTCTCTGGTGGCCGCTCTCTCTTTCACTCGCTCTCTGTGTATCTTTTCTAACGTGTTGCGTGCG